GAAGCCTCCACAGGAGCATGCAAACAGAGCGAAAGGGTCGTCAGTGCACTGAGGAGTGAGGAGACGACCACATATGGGAGTTAGGACCAGCGTGCAGCTCAACTTCTCTCTGAACTTCTGTCCTAAAGCGAGCTTGCAGTGGGATACTCAGTCGCACCAGAATAGACCCAACAGGCCGACTGATCTAAACTCAGAGGAATTTAAAGTCTGGCGGAAAGAATGAGCAGCTGACCGTGTGTGTGTCTGTCAGTGTGTGTTTCCACTGTACAGTGCAAATCCCCATCCAGATTGGACAGAGACCTCACAGGTGCGAAGCAGCCTGATTGGCTGACCCACTCAGAGTCAGGCGTGACTAACCTCAGACTTCAGCAACATGGCATGTTGTTACTGGTCTGACAGCCTGTTGTTGGGCTGAAAATCCATAAAGTTACCAGTGAAATCTGTCAAAGAAGAAGGCTTGTTTCATTCGCCATCCTCGAGATATATAAATAGATTTCCCTTTTTACAGAAGGAAAAACTGCAATTACCCATTCCTTCATTCCTGAGGTGAAATCCTCAGATCCATTGTCTTAGATCATTTCTGATATCGTGTCTTATTTGGGACAGGGTGAGGAGGGAGGTGTATGATCTGCTGTGACCCCTAAAAGGAACAGCTGGAAGTAGTATTTACTTTTTGTATGAATCACAGTTATTGTCAATACCTGAAATTTGTCTGCTGTGTTCATCAGAAAGTTGCAAAACAAAGTGTGACTTTGACCAGCCTGTCTGAATCCTGAGTTTTCACAGTATTCGAATGCATAAAAAGCCTGATCTGAATGCACTGATCTTACACTAAGACTGCGTCTTTTTACGGGAGGGTAAAATACAGCAAGCTCTCAAATCAACACCCTGTAGATAATTTGAGAGATTTATATTAGTTTTGCAGCTTTACTTGAACCTTAGAGGGTCTTACTTACGACGCAGCAGTTTGTGAAATTTATGCCATTTGCATGCGTATTTTGGGGGCTTTTATTGATAGCAATTATTTGCTGACGGTTCAGTTTACTTGAGTTGCTGCTGCTACAGTCAGCTGGCTTCTCGTGAGTGTTGTGTGAGATTTTATTTTGAATCTTTCTAAATATTTAGTTGAGCAGTCAGGGGTCATGTGACCCTGACGGATCCTGGTTGACCTGCAGCTGGTGGGTCTAAGGGACAATAAATCAGGACAGATCAGTTTGGTGCAGTTTTGATTGCAGAGTTGTTCTGTGCCCCCCGGTCGCCTGCAGGGGGCAGCAGCATGTCCTTCTTGTTGCTGCTCTTCTGGGGTACTTTTTGGTGTGCAGCAGCTGCTGCTCTGTGACTCACCGTGGCAGCGCAGCATGTGATGCGACAGCTGCTGTAACGCAGATGCCAGGAGGAAGTGCTCCAGCGTTTAGACCGTGCCCTCCGCTGCCAGGCCGCTGCGATCGGGAACTCCAGCTCAAGAATTTCCAGCCTGAGCCAAGAAGAAGACTGTGGAAAGGCTGAAGCTTTGGCAGCTGCCTGGTCAGATTATTTCAGGCCTGTGAAGTAACTGACGGCCATATTTGGAACAGACAGTCGCTCCTCCTGGAGACACTTGAGATGGAGAAATCTCTTTTATTCCTCGTGTAAACTACTCCACTTTTGGTCACCTTGAAGCAGTTTACACACCGATCCAAACAGGCTGCTGTGGTGTTGCAGAAGATAAATCAGACTTACAACCTGATGTATCTATTAAACCGCTAAAGACACCAAACTTAAACCTAGCTACACACACACACACACGCACATTCTCCTGCTGCAACAAATATGGCATCCAGTGACATGTGTGGAATAATCCACCGCCGTTCCTGACTAATGCACTGTTTTTTCAACATTTTCCGTGTTGCTATAGTAAACATTCAAGGCTGGGGAAAAAGAAGTGAGGGAATTTTAAACCATGAACAGTGATGTTGCTAAAACAATCACTTGGTGCCTTTGCAGAAGTAAAACATTGCTTATTAACTACTTAAGAAGTAATGTATCATCCTGCGTGTCCCGATACCTTTACAATACTCTGCACCATCAGCTGAGCTGTGTTGTGGTGTTATTAACAGTTAACAATATATTTTTCAGCCTTACTTATGCTAACACAGCAGCACAGATCAATAAGGAGAACATACTAATAGGTGTGGCTTTTCAGGCAAATTTCGTTTTCTCTCGTTGTTACAGTAGTGCATATTTGCCTCACCATAAATGCCCAGAGTCACCCAGTGTGATTCATCTTGAGCAAAACAAAGACTCTTTGGTCTAAGTGAATGTGTCCCGCTGAGTCTCTCACCTTGGTCCCCTTTCAGCACCATGTGATCATCTGTTGGTCTCCATTTGGCTACTTTGCAGATCTCCTCTATGAATCTGTCAGAAACCAACTGTTGCCCTTGCACAGACAGCCTTTGTGGTTTAAATCGCCTGCTAGTTTTAAGTGTAATTCTCTACCAAAATCGACTATCAAAATCGTCGACGACGAATTTGATAGTCGACGCGTCGTTTGAAGCTTTGTAAGATCACAAAAGACGCAGGAATAAGTAGTAGGATTTAAGAGTGTAATACCAGACTGAAACAGAAGATGGCAGCACTGCATGTACAAGGATACCAGCTGCCGTTAAGCCCCGAAGAAGAAGAAGTAGCGTCCCAGAATCCATAGCGCGGCCCAGCTCAGTTTCCAACAATGGCGGCAGCTAGTTAGTTTTAATATTACTCTTATTATTCTTTCTGGGTCACAAAATAAACGTTTAACATATTTTCAGGCGAGAATGTAGCTGTTTAAACCTCAAATATCTGCTCAGTTTATCAAGACACCACATATTTTCAAAAGCGCTCCGACGTTTTCGGAGACGTCTGTTAGCCACTAGCTCGATAGCTAGCCGGGGTTCAAGCCTCAGTAGAGCCGAAGAGAACACCGGACTCCCGGCAAATCGTTTTCAAACCCACCGCCGTCTTTTGCTACTCAGGTTAAACATGATATATGAGTCACTTAGATAACTTAAAAATGTTATTGTTTGGCTTTTTCAGTATTTTATTTGTTCCTGAGTAAATCGGCTGAGTTTATTAAACTCCACCGAAACAATCTGCACATTTAATTAAAATTTAATAAACTACCATCTTGTCTTTATTTTTAGTTAGCACATACCTTAAACACTTAAAGCTGTAAGCTAATGATAGTTATATAGATGCATGCTGGTGCAATAAGCTGTAGTTTTATGTACAATGGATGCACGATCTGATTAGTCGACTAATCGCAAAAATAATCGGTGACTAGTCGACTATCAAAATAATCGTTTGTGGCAGCCCTAAATAATAGTGAGACTGGTTTTTGGGCATAATCGATCAGAGTGAATGTGTATTGGGTCACTTTTGCAGCTCACAGAAACTGGTCAGTGTGTATTTGACATTTTGTCAGCGCTGTGTGTTGCTGGGGAAGTTTTACACCCTGAAAATAGCTGCAGGTTGAGTGTGAGTCAAACTGCACAGACAGAACCTGCTGGTTTCTGCTGTTTGTCAGAATGTTCCTGAATGCATCACCAATGAGATATTTACAACTGGCACATGGCTTCAGCCTCACATGATGGTGAACCAGCAGCCATGAGGTAACTGCTCACCGAGGTGGTAAATTTACCCCGAGCAAGCTTCACATCTGCAGGTTTTTTACAGAGTGAAGTCAGCTTCTGTTTCAGCGTCCTGTTACTCATCTCTGCAGGAGAAGCCTGATTTTACATTCCTGTGTTTAATGCTTCATTCAAATAGGTTATTCATAACAAAAACACTGAAACTAGGCAAACTGTTGTGAAGACTTAAAAAAAATGAATTAAAAGCAAAAGTAGAAAATACTATTTCAATTCAAATCAAATGCTAAACTGTCTGCTTGTTAACCTACTGTATGTGCACTAAAAGCATCTCAATACGTGTCATTTTGTCCACAACCAAAGATGGAGCAGGTGGGGATCTTTTCACATCAAAAGTCTCCGAGTCTGGAGTCTGACGTGAGCTGAGAGGAAACGCACGGTTCATACTTTAATTTTATTTTTCTGTCTGATAACTATGTTGGCAGAAGTGCTCTGAAACTTTCCAGCCCACTCAGAATAAACTCTGGACTGCTCCTTTAATCCAAAGCTGCAGCTCAGTGATTCTCTCCCACAACTTACACGAATGGGGGCAGATATTCAGTGTACCTGCCCCGCCCTCCACCCACAGTGAGCTACAATTACATCACCGCCTGTCGACGCCACACACAGCACGAACGCCTCACACAGCACGTGGGGAAATGTCAGGGGTCACAGTGTGTTACTATGCATGTATCCATGCGTGAAGCGACTCCTGACTTTGTGATGTCATAATCCCGGACCTCTTTACTGGGAACGGATCTACCTCTGATCCTGATCTGATGATTTCAAAATCTCTTTACTGCGTTTTTGTTTCTGTTCAGAAGCTGCAGTCAGATGACCTCGTGCATGGTTTACTAACATTCAATCCTCTTTAAAAGATACCTGCAGATATACTAGACAACTCTGTTTTTAAGTAATTCAACGTTTATGTAATTTTTCTGTGGAAAATATCAATGAACCCCTGGAATCTGCTGCCCCTCTTTAGCAGGAATATCTTGTGATGTTTTGTAAAACTGATCACTAGTTTTGGATACTTCAAATTCAAAGCTCGTTCATTTGGAAGATATTTAATGGTTCTCCTGTGGGTACTGCCGACTCTCCAGGATGTTTACTGATGAGTTTCAGGTGATGCTGAAACATTTATCAAATTAAAGGAGGCTGATAAGCAGTCTGTTTAGTGTGATCACACACTGATGTTTTGTCTGTTGCAGGTTGCTGCGTCGCCTGGCCACTCTGCTCTCCCAGCAGGCTTCACTCATGGCCTCCAACGAAGCCTTCAAGAAGCAGGCGGAGGGCGCCAGCAATGCCGCCAAGAAATACATGGAGGACAACGAGACGTTGCAAGAGGTGAAAAAAAACACACACACGGAGTTTTGAGCTTTTCAAGTTCTGCTGGTAGAAAACCAGTCGTCAGAGGTCATGGGTCACACTGCCGTCATGGTGATATTTGGTAAAAATGAGGATTGGCTGTTTCTGGAAAAGATGTTTTTCACAATAAAACTCCATCCAGCTTCACTGTTCTGCAGAAACTCCAGACTGGAAGAAGCGGATTCCCGAGTTTCAGTCCTGAGTTTTAGAAGAACAGACGCAGCATGTCAGGCACATTTTATACAGCAAGATATTCTAAAAGCAACTACAACAATTAAAAAAATTTGGGTGCCGCTCAGAGAGGGGAAAAGGCAGTATTTTTAGGTCTGTGTGATTGAGAGGCAGACCCCACAGGAGCCATAACTTAATAAAAATGACTCCCGGGTTTCTTGAAGTGGTTGCGGTGGAGCATTTTTGTGCAGGAGACTGTTCACTTCTCTTCTTTGGAGTTTAAACTTTGTCTTGTGAGCCAGTTATTGTTTTATACGGCTGAGAAGCTGCAGTTTGGCTCATCCCAGCTGCATCCCTGACAGTTCGATTTTATCCTGCATGTTAGTTTTAACGTGTTCTTGCTCTAGTGCATCCTCTTTGTGCTGATTTCTATAGTTGCACTCCTGTTTGATGCAAACACCACATGCTCATGACGGGAAGCATCATCCTTCATCTGGAAATTGATTCAGCACATTCAGAGTTCAGTTTGTTGAGTCATCACGCCGATTTGTACAAGGCACCGAATCTCTTTGCTTTTCTGCACCAACATGGCAGATTTTCTGCTGTAAATCTCAGAAATGAGCCCTGAATTTTTTTTTTTCTCCTTCCTGCTTCACAATAAGGCAACACGTATCCCTGCAGGCATTATGGAATTTATTTCCTGCTAGTGTGTCCTTAGGCCTCTCGGGCCACAACCTCAGTGGATGTAACACTCCCATTTAAAAAAAATAAAATAAAAAATTATCAGCAGTTACATTTTCCGCAAAATGAAACTAAAAGAACTCAGCAGGTTATTATCTGATTGTGATTGTACACCCGTCTGAGGAACAATAAATGGTTGTGGTCAGCAGAG